AATATTACCTTATTAATCACAACTTTCTTAATGTACATTTGTACTAAATATGCTATATACTAAATCTTCTATTCACTGCTACAACCGGGCGACGAAGTCGCCCGTACAACACATTGCTAGTTTATTTTTTTAAATTGATCTTCATGTTACACCACATATTGGTGTTGAACACCATAGGTGCATTTTATATTATCCCCTTAATATTAATAATAATAAGCTATTAATATTAATTGTACGTATGTACGTACTGATAGCTGATTAATATTTTGTACTACGTATATCACATGGGGTGAAAATCATAGTGGTGATGCTGGGGAAGCTCACGTGCCGCAAAGCGGCACGTGCTCATTTGCCAAATTACCGTTATTCGACAATTTTTGCCCAATATTGTATACATGATGATTTTTCTGAAAATGAAACCCATTCGACAAATTGCAAGTATCATATTTCGATCGATAATTGTCACTGAAGCTGGAACCAATGTACTGTACCTAATTGGTTAATTGGTGATCTATCATTTAGTTATATTTTTAGTTTCATTTTTAGCTAAGTTTCAACATCACAAATTGTATAAATAAGTATAAAGTAATTTTTTTAAATAGTCATCAGTGATTCTAAATTCTATTGGAATTGCTCGTTCAAAAGAAAACGTGATTATTTACGGTAGTAAAAATATACTTAACACATTTACTACATTAAAGTGGTTCCAATAAATTTATCATATATTTAGAAGGTTACGAAATCCCATATTTTTAACTGACTTATCAAATCCATTTTGCCTTTACTCATTTAGTAGTAAGTTTATCGCTGTTAGCTATTGTAGAAAATAGTCCGGGTATTTATCATTCCTCTTAATTTTGATAGACTTGAATTTGGATAGTCCCATTGAAGCAACTTCCAATTTGACAAAACTCAACTTCGTGCGCCTGAATCCAGCCTCCTGAATTAGGTGTAGTATTAGTAATAGAATTCTTTCTTTCTTCGTTTTATTTTAAATTTCAGATGTTTACTTTATTATTTAATATATATATGGAGGTATCATTTATCAAATTCAAGTGCGTCCGAAACTGATATTATATTGGACACGATGTCAATTACTTTTTGTTCGTGGACGGACACAATAATTCTTGTAACAGATGCTTAGACCTATCATTTTGACTTTCCTAATGCAATCGATACTTCAAGCCCTCTGAATTTTTCAGTGACAAACGATAGCAATTATCATTACTAAAACACTTGCTATCATATTAGCTTGTAGTGATTTTTTAACTAAAAATGTAATTAAATTTCAGATGAATACATTGAATGAGAGTATGGGTATGCATAGATGAGAGCTTAAAAATAGGTTTAACATGTTGACTGTATTTTAGATTTATCTATTTTAAATATAAATTTATATTTTTTTTTCTAGCCGATCATAGCCAGAATATTGTATTTTCATTATACTCATTATACATAGCTATGAGATAATAAAAAAGAATTTTATTACACTGTTTGATTTGAAATTATTGCAAGATAGAATAATTGATAGAATTGGTATTAGACAATCATTACATTCTCGTGTGGCATATCGTGCATTATATTTAAATCATTGCATTCTCCTAAATTAGGCTTGAATTTGAGTTATACATATTCAAAAAACCTGTCATTTAATTTACAAGTCTAAAAACTATGTACGTAGTATACTATGAAAGATCGAAAAGATCTCCAGTGAATAATTACCAGGTGAATGACGAATTATATTACCAACTGAATTAATAGGTGCTTTTTAAAGGAATAAAATCTTCAAAATGTTAGAGGTGTATTTTATACTTTAAGTTTTCTTCGAACTTGGCACTTAAATTCTGTTATAAAAATTATCGTCTAAAACTTCTTTGTCAAATCCAATTAAGCGTACATTATTAAAGTTCTGCCCATTTTGGGAAAGTTAAGACCTGTTATAAGCATTATGGACGAATAATGTTGAAATTTTTATAAAACGCATAGAAATTATCGTGTTTACAAAATAGTGCGACGAATCCTATGAGTTCTGCATATTCTGCATGCTACCATTGTTAAACCGTATGCAAAATCATGACAAATGATTTTTGTTTGCCCCATAAATTCCGCATATTATCATTGTTTAGTAATTATAAAATGCAATATTTATAAGATTCAAAACTATTATTTGTCGCATTATTTTGTAAAGAGCGATAAGCACCTCTCTGCAAGCGAAACCATGTGATACATATGAATCTATAAATAATGTTCTTAATTATAAGTTGTGTAACTATCGAATGGCTAACTTTAGTTTTATTCAATAGTTCATAATAGTTATAGTTATTTCTGAAAAAAGGCAATTTTTTTTTTTATCATCCCGTAATATGACCGCGTAAGAAAAAAGAAAAGAGAAAAAGCAATTATTACATGACTCCGGCTGAGGTTACGGCAGCTCTTAGTACAACCAAATTGTTAATATCATCATCACTCTGGTCAATTCACTTCAAACTTTAATTATTTCCAGCATATATAAATGATAACATAATATTCGAAAAGCAGTGTAACAGGTTTACCATAAAAAATTCTGGCTAAAGAGATATAACAGGCATTATTTGGAATGGTATTAAAATTTGACTGAGATATAGTCAATTGCCTAGGAAGACAAACCTTACAGTGATATTAAGCCAAAGTGAACTATTTAATTTCTTTTGCTTAAATTATTATTTGAAAAGAAATTAATTTGGCATAATTTTCGAAAATGAAAATAATTGCTAAGTGTTGTTTTTGTTTTCCTTTGAGAACAGGTGTAATTATCATAACTATTATTTTGCTGGAAAGTATTTTATTTTTTTAGATTTTATTGTTTTTTTATTAATTGTTCAAATTACATATTCGTTGACAAATATTCAATTTTCAGATTTCAGCAATTTATGATATAATCTTTAGCCTCCTTAATATAGTTCAGATCATAGGCAATGCTCCCCGTAAGTTTTTATATTTGTATTTATTAGTTAACTAATTTATTTGTTTATTTTGATTATTTTGAATATTTTTATTTTATTTAACTTGTATTTAGTTTATGATAAAGGAATATATACAGTTGCTATAGTTGTAGATACGCTGCTGTGTTTAGTTGCTTCTTTTGGACTTTTTGTTATTTTCCTTGCGGTATGTGATTGTTTATTATTATTATTATTATTATATATTACAAGTTTAATTAAAGTTGTTTTTTTAAAATATAATATATAGAAAACAGCTTATCTATTAAGACTCTATTCTCGATTCATTTATGCTTATTTAATAATCAGAACTTTAAGTTTTCTTTATACTATTATTGTTCTTGCTTCATATAAAAGCGATTATATGGACTCTTGTGTACAAATTAATGAATCTCGACATGGGGCCGATCATAATGAAACAACTTATTTTTGTAATATCGGGTATTTTGGCATGCTATTAGCACTAATTCTTACAGGTGTTTTTACAATTATTCTTATGGTATATTTTAATGATTTTTTTTGCGTTCCAAATTGGATTGAAATAGAGTTCAAATAATTAAATTTTGATTTCTGTAGATTTATTACGCCATGGTCATAAACGCTTATTCAAAAAGACGTGAAATTAAAGAAGAGGAGAACGAAAGTTCATCTGAAGTTATTGAAACTCCTGGTTCAATGGATAGACCCTAATTATTAAAGATTCTATTTTAAAATTTCTAACTCTTGTTAGAAAGTTCAAATTTACTACGAAATTATGTTCGCCCAATCTTTCATAAATTACTTGTAATTTAGTATTATTGGATGAATTAACACTATTGAAAGTTCCTTTCCACTGATTGTTAAAATATTCTCACAAAAAATAAAATAAATAAATCAAAATCTAATAAAAAAAATTTGTAAAACATAAAGATATATAATTAATTCTGTTTACATTTAAGTCGTTTAAGATTCAAGATCCACATAAATTTTCAATGAATTTAATGTATTATACTGCAACATCTTGCAACGTATTGAGCGAGTAATTAGGGCTATTAAAGCTTTAGATTAACTCTACAACTTAGATCAACGGTTTATACAAATTGGATTTTTTACTAATTGCTTATTCATTTAAAATTTTACCTTCTAAATTTTTAATTTAAGAAAAACTGGAAATAAATTCTAATTAAAGTCTAGTTTTTTTTTTTAAACAATAGAAAAATAGTGAACATAACGTAGATCATAACACTAAAGATTCTATTTTTAAAGATTTGCTGTATTTTTAGAATTCTATCCCCCATTTAAATTTTCACCTACTGATACTATTTCAATCGCTATCTAAGTATATGATCATCAAAATAAATATATTTTTCAACCCTTAAATAAAAATGCTTGTAATTGGACAGAAGCGTGTAAGGTGGACTTTATTTAGTCAAAATTTTTGATTATTTGAAGAGAAATAGAAGTGGTTTATATTAATCCTTTAAAAACTATGAAATTAAATAGTTTTTTAGATTTATTACATTTTTTTACGTATTTGGAAGTTTGGATAAAGAAATTTTGAACGAATAAAAAAAGTGGTGTTAAATATAAAAGTTTGTTTTATTGCTTAAGATGAGTGTTAATTATTTTTTGTGCTTTTTTGTAACATGATGATGATTTTAAATCCTCGATACCTTTCCCAGACTTCTAGGCAGCATTAAAGATGACATACTGTAAAATGTCTTTAGTGTTCATATGTATAAATTTATATAGGTTGCAAAAAAAACGAATAAATAAATAAATAAATAATTGTTTAATCGCCCATAACGTAGTGGTAAAGCAATGGATTTGTTAATGCCATCATTTAATTGGTCAATTTAAAGGAGCGGGTTCATACATTGTCATGAATTTAATCATTTAACGTTAAGTCGAATGCTTTTCTATATTCGGATATGCAGTACATAATAATATGAGTAATACAGACTTTAGTTAAAGAACTTTTTTTTATTTCGTATGGGCGAAAATTTACAGTCGGAACATTGTGATTATTGTGATGGTCTAAATTACTATAGAGTAAACTGATAAGAGCTCGTAAATTATCTAAGGACCCATAAAGTAAACTATATAAAAAACTGATAAGCAACTGATAAGTAACTCATAAGAAATTTTACAATGATTGATTAAAATATCAGTAGTCTCCAAACCTTGCATATGATTGGTTCAAAACTTTATGCATAAAAAAAAAATTATGAAAACTGGAAATTTTCCCCCATATGTTATTAGAATATTTCCATAATCTATGATTAACAAAAATATTTGCCATGAATACTCGTATTAAGAAAAACATTCATGGTATTCTTTTTATATATATATTCTCTATTACTGTATATAGTATACTCTTACTGAACTTGATACACTGTATTAGAACTAATTACCTCTAGACCATCACCCACCTACTTTACAAACTTGCGTTCTTTTGTACACTTTTTTTTTTCCTTGAGATGCAAGGGGTATTTTAGCAGTTCACGAGTAAATGCCACACTACTATCGGTGATTCACTCTTTATTTTAAAGAAAAAAATTCTCTAATTTATTAATACTCCATACGTACCATATGCTGATAACTAATACATACTCCATTTCTGCAGATATTTGATAGCAAATAAATGCCTTATCTTTATCTTTTCTTATTCCAATTCCGCATATATAGCAATTTTTTGATCTTCTGAGATGCCTATATCATCTGCTTCTTTGCAGCACTCAAATACCATATGCTTATCTTTTTCAACTCCAATTCCATATTGATAGCAAATATCATTCTACAACATAATCCTTTTTGCAGATTTCTTATAATAAAAAAGGTTGTTTACTTTCGTCCCTTTTAATCTATTTATCAAAATCTCTATTTAAACACCAGTTGGTTATATTCTTCGGGTTTGACGGTTTTCTATTATTAGATCGGTTTTTTCTTTTCATACTTTCTTCATTATAAAATTTACATAAATCTTTAATAACTTAAGCAAGTTTACAAATATAGCTAAAATTATATATTAAAAACACTAGGTTTACCTTTGTGTAGCACCGAATTATAAAACGGTCTATTATATAATTTAATCAGACTTATGAGCTTTAGAGTTAATACCTATATCCGGATTTATATATCCGGATATATACTATGTCATGTGATATAACATGACATAATGTTTTAAGTCCGGATATAAATCCGGATTTATACTATGATAAAACCGGATTAATCCGGATATAAAATATATATCCGGATTGAGGTATTAACTCTACTTTAGATAAGTGCCATCAATAGATATTATGGAGAAAATTTCCTTATTCTATTGTCCAATCTCTAAATGAAAAACTTGTTATCGTTAAATCGACTTCTGAACACTAAAAATAATCAAAAATTATAGAAATGAAAGATTTCAAGTATGACATGTATACTCAAAAAGTATTGATGGCGTAATTAAAGTTTACTACGGCTTGTACATTTCATTGTAATATAAAAATCAAATATTTGGTTTCCAATTCTGTAGGCTTATTTTAACGTTAACGAGGTAAATATTAAATATTTTAATGGTATCTTTAATTAATGAATGATTGTTAGATAATACTAATTTCATCACTAATTAAAGGTTGTGTGTAGCAAGTCATTTACGTACATGCATAGTCAAAGACAGTTAAGCAAACCGAATAATTGATTTTAAGCAATATTAAGTATAATCCAGGTTTGAAGTTGTTCGGCCGGCCTCATCGGATGCTGGAAAAGAAAGCTCACCGAACGGTTCGAAATGGAGTTTGTTATGAGAAAAGCGTCACTCACTGAACGTGCAATAAGAGTTAGTATAAATTTTTGTTTAACAAATTATTAAATAGTAAATATTAAATTCTAACACTAATTTTCATTTTTAATCATGTGCTAAATTACCAGCGTGAGTGTAAAATTTATTTATTCGCTGTGGATCATGATTAACTATTAAATTTTAACTATTGTAATTCTGATCTCACATGTTGAAAGTGTAAGTATGAAAATTTATCTTTTCACTTTGAGATTAATGCATTAAGAGAATTAAACATTAAGAAACACTAATTTAATCGATCAGCGTGAGTATGAAGTTGAATGCTGCTAATTTTAATATTAGCATAATTAGAGGACTAACCATAATCATTTAATTGTTCAATAAATTACCAGTGTGAGTATAAAAATTTAATTCTAATGTTGTGTTTCAAGAAAATATATAATTAACAGTAATCATTTAATCGTCCAATAATTACCAGAGTGTGTATGAAGTTAATTCTGTTCATTTTAACGTTTGTTCTCAAGAGAACATATTACTAACCGTAATTATTTAATTGTTCGATAAATTACTAGTGTGAGTGTGAAGTTTAACACTGTCATTTTAATGTTCAAGAGAATATGTATATGATTAACTGTAATTAATAAATTACTAGAGTGAGTATGAAATTTAATTATGACCAATTTAACTTTGTGTACTAAGAGAATATATGATTAACCATAATCATTTAATCGTTCAATAAATTACCAGTGTGAGTATGAAGTGTAATTCTGTTCATTTTAACATTTGTGTTTCAAGAGAATACATGATTAAACCTAATCATTTAATCGTTCAATAAATACATACCAGTATGAGTATGAAGTTTAATTCTGTTCATTTTAACATTTGGGACCCCCCACAGCAAAAGGGGGGATGGGCCAAAAATTTTGAAAATTTGTTCTTATGATAATTTTATTCTAATCAATTTGATTCTTCGAGATATTGAATTTTTTTAAAAAAAATTTTTTTGGCCCATCCCCCTTTTGCTGTGGGGGTCCCATTTGTGCTTCAAGAGAATATATGATTAACTGTAATCATTTAATCATTCGATAAATAACCAGTTGTGAGTATAAAATTTAATTCTGTTCATTTTAATGTTTGTGTTTCAGGAGAATATATGATTAACCGTAATCATTTAATCGTTCAATAAATTACCAGGATGAGTATAAAGTTTAATTCTGTTCATTTTAATATACGTATTTTAAGAGAACATATAATTAACTGTAATCATTTAATCATTCAATAAATTGCCAGAGTGAGTAAGAAGTTTAATTCTGTTCATTTTAATGTTTGTTTTTCAAGAAAATATGTTATTAACTATAATCATTTAATCATTTAATAAATTACCAGAGTGAGTATGAAGTTTAATTCTGTTTGTTTTAACATTTGTGTTTCAAGGGAACATATGATTAACCGTAATCATTTAATCATTTAATAAATTACCAGAGTGAGTATGAAGTTAAATTCTGTTCATTTTAACATTTGTGTTTCAAGGGATGGTTAACTATAATCATTTAATCATTTAATAAATTACCAGAATACGTATGAAGTTTAATTCTGTTTATTTTAATGCTTGTGTTTCAAGAGAATATATGACTAACTGTAATTATTTAATCATTTATTAAATTACCAGTGTGAGTATAAAGTTTTAATTCTGTCTATTTTAATATTTGTGTTTTAAGAGGATACATAATTAACTATAATAATTTGATCATTCTATAAATTATTAGAGTGAGTATGAAGTTTAATTTTGTTCATTTTAATATATAGATTTCAAGAGAATATGTAATTAACTGTAATAATTTGATAATTTAATAAAATACCAGAGTGAGTATGAAGTTTATTCCTGTTCATTTAATATCTGTGTTTCAAGAGAATATATGATTAACCATAATTATTTAATAAATTACCAGTCTAAGTATGAAGTTTAATTCTATTCATTTTAACATTTGTGTTTCAGGAGAATATAATTAACCATAATTATTTAATTATTCAATAAATTATTAGAGTAAATATAAAGTTTCAATTCTTTTCATTTTAATATTTGTATTTCAAGAGAATATATTATTAAGTAATCATTTAATTGTTTAATAAATTGCCAGTGTAAGTATAAAGTTTAATTTTGTTCATTTTAATATATATGTTTCAAGAGAATACATGATTAACTGTAATAATTTGATAATTTAATAATTTAATAAATTACCAGAGTGAGTATGGGTATGAAGTTTAATCCTGTTCATTTAACAATTGTATTTAAAGAATATATGATTAACTATAATCATTCAATAAGTTTAATTCTATTCATTTTAACATTTGTATTTTAGGAGAATATGATGAACTATAATAATTTGATCGTTCTATAAATTATCAGTTGTGAGTATAAAATTTAATTCTGTTTATTTTAAGGCTTGTATTTCTGAAGAATATATGATTAACTGTGATCATTTAATCGTTCGATAAATTACAGAGTGAGTATGAAGTTTAATTCTGTTTACAGTATTTTAATATTTGTATTTCAGAAGAATATATGATTAACCGTAATCATTTAATCATTCAATAAATTGCTAGAGTGAGTATAAAGGTTAATTTTGTTTATTTTAATATATGTATTTTAAAAGAACATATAATTAACTATAATCATTTAATTATTCAATAAACAGAGCGAGTATGAAGTTTATTCTATTCATTTTAATGGTTGTGTTTCAAGAGAATATACAATTAACCATAAACATTTAATTGTTCAACAAATTACCAGTGTGAGAATAAAGCTTAATTCTTGTTTATTAATATAAGTGTTTCAAGAGAATACATAATTAACTATAATAATTTGATCATTTAATAAATTACTAGTGTGAGTATAAAGTTTAATTCTGTTTACTTTAACATTTGTATTTCAAGAGAATATAATTAACCATAATCATTTAATCATTTAATAAATTACAGAGTAAGTATGAAGTTTAATTCTATTTATTTTAATAGTTGTATTTCAAGAAAATATATTATTAATATAAATATTTAATCGTTTAATAAATTACTAGTGTAAGCACAAATATTTAATTCTATTTATTTTAACATTTGTTCTTCAAAAGAATATATTATTAACTGTAATCAATTTACAGGAACCTATGCATTTCAACAAATATGTTTTTATATAAATATAAAAAATCATTATATGATGTAATATCTTAATTATGTTAATACTATAATAAACTGTTAATAATTAATTAACAGATACAGCCTAACCTCTCTAAGTGCATTTAGGGAAAGTGTGCATTTAGAGATTTTATCACGAATACATCACGTGATGACCGACCAATCAAATCATTAATTTTGATCACTTTCACTTTCGATTTATTATATAAAGACCTTCAACGGAAAGATCAAAATATACTTTATTCGGATGAGCTTTTTTATTTATCTCTTTATTTTTATGGAGAAATTTCAAAAATACTTTATTTCAATAATACTTTGGCAAAAACGCACTATATTTTCTTCTGAAATTCAATGATAAAAGCTTATTGATCCTATATTATCCCGAGATTATATACCCAATTTTATCGATACAGTAAATACCAGAAAGAAAAAATAACCATATATTTAATACCACAGTAAAGTTCTTCGAATACTTTATATTAGTGAAGTTAGCAAATTTTTATAGACCTATAACTACCCACCTTAAAAGTTTTTTTTTTTTTTTTGTCTTTTTTTTTAACCCAAATTTTTTCCTGATGATAATATTTAAAATTATAAGCTTCGAATAAATGACCAATTTCTACAGATTTTTAAAATAATCAGCGCATTGTTTTTATCTAATGTTAAGGCTTTAGATAATAAATAAATGAATTACCTCCATTCTAATTTTGGCATTTTATTTAAAATACAGATTGATTTTTGATTGTTTCATTGCATTTATTTTTTTTTCTTTAATTGCTTTTTTAATTTTCTCTACTAACTTTAACTGCTCATTTGTATTTTCTTGTTGTAGCAAATATATATAAACGGTCTCCAAACCTTCAAGTGCAGAATCAGCACTAACTATAGGAATCTCCAAGCTATCATCCATTTCGTCTACTTCATCCAAATCTTCCACAGTGTCGTTATTCTTAAAAATTTCTACAAGCTCTGCAATCGCACGATCATCATCAGGAACCTCGTAAGCAAAGTTTTCATCAGGGATATTAAGAAACTCTTCAACTTGCATAGGATCTGAAAAATTAAGGTTTTCAATCATTGTAACGAGATCATTAATCTCAGATTCAACATTTTGTTTAATATTTTCTGAAAGATTTCGTAGGTCTGCATTAAAGCTTTTAGAAAGAATATTGGTATGACGCCAGCAGTAGCGAATAGTATCATTAGTTACTTCATTCCAAGCTTGAATAGTGTATCTAATGGCTTGTAAAACATTCATTTTTAAGTCTTCTGCACGATTTCCTGCCTCTATTTGTTGCAACATCCAGGCAATATGATGACGACAATAATGCCGTTTAAAGCTCATAATTATTCTAGCATCCATTGGCTGAATTTTCGAAGTCGTATTTGCAGGTAAAAAATGCACATCAACATATTGTAGATTTAAAAAATCAAGCTTATGACTAGAACAATTATCTAAAAGCAAAAGCACAGATTGACTATTATGTTTTAGACCAACTTGACGATCAAATTCTTTGAGCCAGTCTTGAAAAACTGTTGTTATCATCCAAGCTTTGGCATTATTCCGATACATAAATGGCATGTTTTTAAGATTTATATTTTTAAAACATCTTGGCTTCTGGTATTTGTCAATTACTAATGGATTAAGTTTATGTGAGCCATCTGCATTTGCACATAGTGCAATTGAAATACGTTCTCTATTCACTTTACGTCCAGAAATACGGTGGGTTGCCAAGGTTCGATCCGGTTCTAATCGATAGAAAAGCCCCGTTTCATCCATATTATATACTTTATCAAGTGAATAGCTATCACATTTAGATCTTAACAATGGTAATGCATTCACAATAGCCACATTATCTGCTGATGCAGCTTCACCTTGGGGCTTTACTTGCCGAATACCATTACGTTCTTTAAATTTTTGCAACCAGCCAGAGGAAAATTGTAAAGTTCCTTCCGGAACCCCTAATCCAGCAGCAAGCAACTTTGCCTTCTTAATTAGCACAGCATCGCTTAAGATAGTTTTATGTTGATAATTTAATACAAATTCTTTTAATGCAAGCTCAACCTCTGGAGCAGTTACAGATCTATGCCGTTTCACATTAGAGTTAGAAGCTTCAGAGTTAAGTCGTTTTTCACTACTATTTAAAATTCTTGAAACAGTGCTCTCATCGATTCTAACACCCCACTTTTCTTCTATCCAATTAATATACTTAGCCCGAGTTACTTTATTATCACGAGAGTAAGTACAAAGTGCAGTCTTTTGGGCATCGGTTAATGTAATTTTTTTTTTGGAAGACATTTTTTTTTTTTTTTTTTTTGTACATACTGTACTTTGATATAAATTTTATATGGTAAGCAAATATAGTAATATAGTGTGAATATAAAATGTGTCTTGAATAATAGATTTGTATGTTCATACACTGGCGATCATAAATAATGCATCAAAAAAAAAAAATTCGTTAGATCGAATTTTCTCGCGCAATTCCGCGT